TAATAATAAAAGATGAAAAAGTTAAAGGATTTCCTGTGATCTTGTTAATGCCAAGATCAAGTAAAACTGTAATCACTTTTTAATTATCACCTGCTGTCTAAGGCAAAGGTGGAGCACACGTTTTTGTGTTTTTGTCTGTGTCTGTGTGTTTGAACATGTGTTTGATTATCCCATAAATCACTGGATGGATTTTAATGAGACCAAATMGTTGAAAASAGGGATGGGCAATTTAAATGATGGTGGGGGGCCACAATTTTTTGTTGACACTACCAGAGGGCCACATAGCACTGCACACTTAGCCAAATGTAAAGGGGAAAAATAAAATGCCATTTTAAAAATGAATAACTTAACATATTTTATGCTCACACTTGTGTAAAACAGTTATACTCTTGTTTAATAACTATGAAAACAAAATGTTTGAAGCAAACAAAAAATAAACACTTACAGCGAGCTGAAGTGCACAAAGAGGGCATAAGATGAAGTGCAGACTCCTGCGTGGTTTTGGTTCTGGTAAAAAAGTCACTGTTGTTCATTGCTACTTAAACTTCACATATTTAGCTTTGCGCAGCATGTTGTAGCAGTGGCAGACAACGGCCCTTTTGCACTAACACCTCTACAGCACAGTTTAAGTTGGTCGAACTCTGTTCCGAACTGTTTGGGTGGTTTTTCATTACATTTCAGTAATGGCTCTAGTTGGTGGGTTCATTGTAAATTTGGGCGGTCCCAGTGTCCGAAAACGGACGCCACATGCCTTAACAGCTGGTGGCRGTTATGCTCCATTAAACTATTTGCCAGCCACCATAAAACATAGTAGAAGAAGATCCTGAAAACATTCGCAACACAACAATTGAGGACATGCAGCGTTGTTATCACAAATGGCAGATCAGGTTGTTGTGAGAGTTTATCTTGCGATGCAACCAGTGACTCCATCCTCTAAACAACCAGTGACTGACAGTCTTCTGACGTCACATTTTGTGGTCAGTAGTACACTTGGAACCACAGCAAAGTAAGTTCTGAAAAAGAGGTTGGTTCCATGAATCCTTGCTAGTGGAAAAGTCTTGGAACCATGGAGAGCCAAGTCGAACCGTGCTGTAGAGGAGCTAGTAGGAAAGGGGCATAAGCAGACTAAACACACAGGTTTACGTAAGTTGAAATTCTGTGAACAGATAATGTACCTCCCAAAAGGATAAAAAAATGGCMGCCTCATTGGCAGGCCAGACGGAAGTCACCCACGGGCTACACGTGGCCCGCAGGCCTCCAGTTGCTCGTCCATGGTCTTAGATGTAGGCTGAGCACCTGTGTCTGTGTGTTTGATTGTGTATTCATCTGTCTGTACTGTTAGCAAAACATCTCATAAATCACTGGATGGATTTTTTAATGAAACCAAATAGTTCAAAAGATGAAAAACAAAATCAGAAAAACCCTCACTGATATGGATGAACCTCAGCGGAAAATCTGATTATGGAGACTGTACAATACCTCAGCTGAAATGTAAATGAGTGTGCAGAGTTTAGGACGGCGGCAGAATATAATGCCTTTTCTATAATGACTTCCTGGAGCCTCAAAGCATGGAATGTCAGATTTATAGCATCGTCCCAGTTTCATCTCCAGCTGATTGATGAGCTTGATTTAGCTTTAACAGCTGAAGCCCTCTGAGACTGCGTGGTRTTTCACATTTCCACATTAACAAATAATCAGGGGCCAGACATCTCAGTGAGATGGCACACTATCAGTCATGGCGAGCACAGAATGGAAAGATGGAAGCAGAAACATGACGGKAACAGACTACAGATCTGGAGCATGTCAGGTCTTGCTGCACTGTTAATCAACAAGGCAATCATGCAGCAGTAAGTAATACACGGAGAATTGCACTTACACAGTATGGGTGAGCTCCTGAGGTCTCTCAGCCTGCTCAGGGAACACAGGGTGTGGGGGCTCTCCAATGGGGACGCAGCCCAAAGATTTACTGATCGCGTGGCTCAGCTTCTTGGCTGGAGACTTCTGTGAGGAGGGTGCAGGAAAAATAGTATCTGTATAGTGTCACCTCAACATGTGGGTCAGTTGGCTCAGGTGTTTTTTTTCTTCTTATTTAGAAGGGAAATAGAAAACGGGAAGAATATGTATGATATAGACAAGGGATTCTTAACCTATGGGCCACGGCCCACAGCGCCACCTTGAGGGCCTCAAAAGAACAACAGTTTTTAACGTTGGGCCCCAGAGGGCCGCGGGATCGCATTGATTTAAAATAAGTTACGTCACTCAGATGTTTGACAACTTTTTTAATATGTAGAAGAAGAACCTTAGAAACCTGCCGAGAGTGGAAACCTATTTTAAATGTAAAGTAGAAGCAAAAATGAAGTCAACCCATCAAAAAAAGCCAAAGTTTATCACTAATACGAAGTGCAGCTTCTGTTTTTACCATGCAAAAGTTTACAT